AGTATAAGTCTGTACAGCCTTCACCTTAGGAGTGAATATGCTTTACCACTGAAGAGCTGTGATCATCTGTTTCAGAATCTCCTGGGGTGCCTCCTGAAAATGTAGATTCCTATGCCCCCTTCCCCACTACTGAAACAGACTTTTCAAGATAAGGACCAGGGGTCTACATTTTTAATAATCACCCAAGGTCAGAGGTTTTCAACTATGGCAATTTTGCCTCCCAGGGGACACCAATGCCTGGAGACATTTTTGGCTGTCACAACTGGGAGGGGAGATACTACTGGCATTTACTGGGATGCCACTAAACATCCTACAATGCACATGGAAGTCCTCACAACAAAGAACTATCCAGCCTAATATGTCAATAGCGCCAAGGCTGATAAACCCTGCCCCAAGTAATTCTGATGCTCACTAAAGTTTGAGAAGTACTCATCAAGGCCTTAAATAAGGCTTTGAAAGGAAAGGAGCATCTGGACAGGAGATGATTTTGAAAGGATGAATAAAACTTCTGCTATCTCTAAAAAAGGCACTGGAGCAACCCCCACCTACCTCCATCTCATTTTCCCCATTTTTTTTTTCTTTTTTTTTTGGTGAGGAAAAACAGCCCTGAGCTAACATCCGATGCCAATCCTCCTCTTCTTGCCGAGGAAGACTGACCCTGGGCTAATATCCATGCCCACCTTCCTCTACTTTATATGGGACACCGCCACAGCATGGCTTGACAAGCAGCGCGTCAGTGCGCGCCGGGCCTCAGAACCTGCGAACCCCCAGCGAAGCAGAGCGCGTGCACTTAAGCGCTATGCCACTGGGCCGGCCCCTCATTTTCCCCATGTTAACTCATCAACGGATCCCCTTCCCTTAGGATCTTAATCCCAGTTTGCCCACCTGTGAAAGATCAGTACAAGACACACTGACTATACTAATGCACAATGCTTCGTGAAGGAGATGAAAATCCTACCTGCCCAGGAGTTGGCTGATTCAAATATCACCATTGTCTGACCATGAGCCATTTATCCAATACACAAGAAGAGGCAATATGTTTATAAAGCCAGAAACAGTCTCCTGCCCTGACTCTCCTAAAAGTTCCCTACTTCCTCTAGATGTAAAGGTTTTGGGGTGATTTTTAATCTTTAGGCAGAAGTTATCTGCTCTTGCTAAGTTCTTCTGCAAGGCATACCACACTCCCTGGAGGTAAACACTAGCACTATAAGCATTTAAGAGAATGTAGGGTATTTCTACCTCCAAACCCTAACCCTGTATTTCTCAAACTAGTTCCTAACATGCCTCTTCCTTTCTGAAGGTCACAAGGATATAGTTCATTTGCTGGATTCTCATCCGACTGTTCCACGTGGTTCCTTGCCATAGCTTCTCTCATAGCATGGAACACAGGTTCCCCCAATTCCACCCTACAGACTGGCTATAAAACAAGCATATAACTCCTTTCCATTTTAATGGATTTTTAGTGCTAGTCACTCCAAGTCTTTTATATCTCCAAAATGAAAACAGAGGCCTGCATTCTTGAAGCCACTTCTCTGAATTCCCTGCATGGAGAGCTCCAGGACGGGCTACCATCCCCTTACTCTATCACTTTTCTTTTTTTAATTCCTGGGGATGGAATTCATCACTCATTCTTCCAAATCCTAAACAAATAATAACAAATAATAAACAACACTACTGAGTACTCACTATATACTTAGCGCTGTTCTAAGTGCTTTAAATATACTGTATTTAATCCTTACAACAACCAGATGAAGTAGGCACTATTACCATAATTTTACAATGAGGATTTTACTTTGCCAAAAGTAACACAGCTAGTAAGTAGTAAAGCCACTAAATCTTCCCCTCTGGTAGCCCTTCTATCAGAATATGCTGTTAGTGCAAAAAATCAGGTGTTGACTAGCAAAACATTCAAAATCCAGATTCAGTTAAAGTTCTATGGAAACTCCAAAGTGATATCCATAATATGAACATTCCCACTTTATCCAAGAAAAGTCAGTCAACTCAGGACATCATCTGACAAGCATCATTCTTATTTTCTAGATACTAGGACAAAACCAGCCTGACTCAGCAAGCACATGAGCCACTATGGGGCAGCGTCCATATCTTGTGTGTGCTCTGGACAGTGCTCACCTCAGAATGGTTGTTTAGCCTACACTTAAAAGAAGAAGTCATTCAGGGACTTTCCCCAGACTAACCAGCAAGTGGCAAAACCAGGAATTTCCCGGCTCTCTACTCTAGGCATCAGCCATTGTCTATCAGGACTAGAGGTGAACCAGTTTCACAGAAGAGAATTCAATCTGCTCCCCTCAGAATCTCCCGAGTCTGCCTACTTTCACAAACTAATAATACAAATGAAGATGTTTAAATAAACATGACTACCTCAGGTTCTCTTTCAAATTATTTTACACAAGAAGGAAAGCACTTGCACCTTCAGAAGGAGGAACCAACTCCAAACTGATAGGATTTCAGGAAACTGACTGAAAATCACATCTTTCTGACATCTCCCAGAATGAGAATTCATCGTAAGATCCTCTTTTCAATAAGCAGGAGCCTCTTGTAAATTAATACTGTCTATCTCCTGCTCAAGCCCTGAATTTCCTCAAGCAGCACATCACTCATATCTTCTTCATTTCCTTTCCTTTTGAACCATACAAGCCTCCTGAATACCAAGTAAGTATAAAATGAAAATTATAAGACAGACTCCCATAATCTTCTTAAAGAAAGTCCAAAAGGTAACTGCAACCTTGCAAAGTAAACTGATTTCCTGCTAGCTTAATAACTCACATTTATCGAGACCTTATAATAACACAGGCATAGTATAAGACAAAAAGGCGACCCAAAATTACTAAATTATGGTCTCTGCCTTGAGAAACTCAATATTAAATGGAAGAAGTGCATATTCTGATACTTCCTTATAAACAAACAAAATAAACATTATTTTTTCCCAGGATTTTTTTCATATATGCCCTCACTTACTCAGAGCTACTGCCAAGATATTAAGCTCACCAGGCCTCCTTACTTCCAGCTGCCTACTAACATCTCTACGCACACATCCCACAAGCAACGTGATCTCAGCATACCAGACTATCTCCTCTATAGCTCTTTCCTTAGCCACCCAACCCTTAAAAAACCTGCTCTACTTTTTCTAATCCATATCCTGATTAATGAAATTTCCATTCACTCAAGCTCTCAAATGAGAAACCTTAACCCACTCTCTCTCCCCAGTCACTAAATCCTGTTGCATCTATCTCAGAAATATTTCTAAAGTCCATTCCCTTCCTCTTCATTCCCACTGCCAGACTTTATTCAGACTCACAGTCAACTACAACTTTAATTAGTCTCACTATCTCATTTCTCATTACATTAATCTGTAATTCTGTCACTGCCTAACAAAAAGCTCCAATGATTCCCTACTCTCTTTCAGTCTCACCTCCTGGCAATTTCCCCACCACACATCCTGTTTGGGACAAATTTCTGACACTTAAACATCATATTATTTTCTTCCCCCTCACACTTTCACCATGCCTTTGCACATGCTGAAATGCCTTTCCTTACTTGTGCAAGCTCCTACTCATCCTTCAACACCCAACTCAAGTATCTCCTCCCTATGAAGATTTCTGACTCTCCCAGGCAGTGGCAGTATTCCCTTCACTGTACAAATTCTTTCATAGGGATATGTAACACACAGCACTACAATTTTCATATGAATATGTCCCTCTGATGTCCTTGAGGAAAGATACTCATATTTCTAACCCCAGTTACACAGTTAGTGCTCAATAAATGTGTGCTGAATAAACAGTTCACCCTCATATATCCTAGATCAATCTGTTATTTGGCCATTTTCCCCAAATTTTATGGATTCTTGAACTTGGCTCTATGTGAAATTCCAACTTTCCCAACAACTGCTTTGAGTTTTTGTGGGTTATTTCATTATTATACAAATGTTGAACCAGTGAATGAATTATATAAAGCCTAAACATCCAATGAAAACGCCTTAAAGGCTCTCTTATTCACTAAGAATGGGAATTCCCCCTTTACAACCCTGGCAAGAAGGATCCACCTTTCTCTAGACTGATCCGGTATCCCAAAAGCCTTCACATAGGAAGTGCTGTGCACACAAATCCAACTAAAGGCACAGCCAAAATAATTCCAATTAACTTGTGCTAAGTTAAGGGAAGGGACACAAACCATATTTGCCCTGGTTTACAAAGCCACTGAGAGCTCAGAACAGCAAAGAAACAGCTCTCACTAAGTTCAAAACTTTTTCTGGAGAGAAAGAACTGGGAAGGGTCTGATGACCCTTCTACTTCCCCATTCTCCAGAGGCAGCACTCCTCCGCTTCTGATAGCTCTCCTTCCCCAGGTAACCAGTTTTTTTCCTCCTCTTGTTTCTTCTCCACACCTGCCTGAGAACAGGTTCATTTCCCAGGCTCACATCAAGTAAGCCAGAGAAAACACGGTAGTTTCACTGATTCTGTGCGAAGGGTGGGCTGAAGTCCGCCGGTCAGAGACTGAAAAGAGGGACAGGATGGGGGCCATTCCGGACACCTGAACACTTCGGACAGACCGGCCTTCCTCTAGCCCTTCTCAGAGGTCTTGCCCCACGGCCTCACCCCAAGGCCAGGCTGGGCTGAAGGCCACTCAGGGGCGGGAACAACCTCGGAGGAGAGAGGCTCTCGAGGCAGGGCAGCCTGAGAGGTCCGGGTCAGTTCTGTGCTGGGGTCAAAGGTCACCGCCTCGACTGCCAGGAGGGCCCAGCAGGAACCGGGAGGGACATGACAGGCACCGGACGGTGCGAGGGACCGGCCGCTGGAGGAGCGAGCCGATTCTCGCTCCGCTCCGCCGCCCCGGGCCCAGCCTCCCCACCACGCACAGCCTCAGCCCGCCTCAGCCGCCGTGTTCCCTCCCTCTCCTCCCCGTCACCCGCGTCATCCCCTAGGCGAGCGCAGGCCCCGCCCCCAGAGCCGCCTTGGGGCTAAGGCCTACTATGGCAAGACCCACAGGGGTTGGCCAGGTTCGGGGACAGGACCAGGCCGGCACCGCTTACCGAGCCCCGGGCTACTCCTCCACCACCCGCGCCGCACCCGGCCCGCTCGCTCCCAACGCCACCGACGCCGCCGCCGCTCCGGGCTCACGGACGCGCTCCCGACCTCCCCCGACCCGTTCCCGGGCCGGCCGTGCCCCGCAGGGTCCTAAAGGCCGCTGCGTGATAGGTGTGTCCACGCCCGCTTCCTGACCACGCCCGCTGGCTCAGACTACGATTCCCAGCAAGCATCACGAAGACTACAATTCCCGAAATGCATTGCGAGAAAGAAATTAGCAAGAGAAACATCCATTGAGGGTCTTCTACATGCAAGTTGCAGTAGCACTCTTTTTAAATATGGCAGACTGAACTCCGCAGTTCCACTTCTAGGAATAAATATATCCTCTAGAAGCACTGGCAAAGCTTGGATAGATAATGTTTCAAGCTGTTTATCGCAACTTTGTAAGTGAAAGATTGGAAACAAACTCATTCAATCAACAGATATGTGTTGTGTACCTACTATGTGCAAAGCACCGTGTAAGGCGGTGTTAACTTGGCAAGTAACAAGCTCTTTGAGTTTCAGTTTTCTCATACGCAAAATGGAAAATTAAAAAAGATATGCTGGGCAGTGTGTGTCATTCAATTCTTATAATGACGTTATGAAGTATGTACTTCACAGAGGAGAAAACAAAGGTTATGAATGATTGGCTCACCTAATGTTCTCGAGTTAGTAAGAGGTGAAGAAGAATTTGAACCCAGATCTATCAGGAAAGAAATCTTTTTTTTCTTTTTTTTTTTTTGGTGAGCACGATTGGCTCTGAGCTAACATCTGTGCCAATCCTCTATTTTGTATGTGGGTCACTGCCACAACATGGCTTGATGAGTGGTGTAGGTCTGCACTGGGTTTCTGGGCCCAGGAACCCCAGGAGCTGAAGTGGAGAGCTTGGAACTTAACCACTACACCACCAGGCTGGCCCCCAGGAAAGAAATCTTAATGAGCCAAAAGCTCAGGTTCTTTCCTGGAAGATTTTTATTTTTCTTGTCTAGTCACACAGTAGCATAAGACATGATTAGTGGTAAAAAGTTGTACCTTAATAGAATATAAAAAAGAGTGAGAGGGCCGGCCCTGTGGCTTGGTGGTTAAGTGCGCGCGCTGCGATGCTGGTGGCCTGGGTTCGGATCCCGGGTGCGCATCGAGGCACCGCTTCTCCGTTCATCCTGAGGCCGAGTCCCACATACAGCAACTAGAGGGATGTGCAGCTACGACATACAACTATCCACTGGGGCTTTGGGGGGAAAAAATAAAAAAAATAAATAAAATCTTTAAAAAAGAGTGAGAAGAGGCAAACGGAAAGCATCTTGTGATGAACTCCAATATTTCCTAAACACCAGCTAGAAGCCTCCTGTCCAGCTAAAAGAACCCTTTTCCATACTTGATTTCCTTTTAACAAAACTTTATTGAGTACCTACTGAATACTCAATTCTGGGAGTAAAAAAAAATAATAATACAATTCTGAGATTATGTAACAAAGTGATAAGTAGATAGACAAATGTTTTAAATATCAGACAGTGAATTATCAAGGGCAGACTTAGAAAGGCTCAAGTTGTAAATGCCCTGAAAATTCAGAGAAGGGAAAATTCCATGTCAATCTCTGGAGGCTTCCTGGAGGAAGATGAAGATGGAGTCAAGTCTTAGAGGAGAAGAGAAAAGGAGAGGAGAAGGTATGAGGGTGATGCAACACAATACACTACCCAAGCCTATGTCCAGCAAGTGAATTAAATACAGATTCAGACAAGGGTAAGTTTAGAAAGCCATACACTGAGTCAGTAAGAGTACAACCTCTGGAATACTGTGAATGAATCCCAGATTTGTTGCCTACTAGCTGTGTAACTTTGGACAATTACTTGAGCTCTCTGAGCCTTAGTTTCTTATCTGAAAAATGGGGATAATAAAAGGTCTATGTTCAGTTGGTATAGTTATCTAGCACTGAACCCATCCCCTCTTATTCTGGGGGCCTCTTCCTTTGGGTATAGTCTTGGTGGAAAACCAGGTCCTGAGCAACCAAGGTAAGTGACTTCATGTGACCTGGGCTTGGCTACTAGATACAGCTTCTAATGGCTTCGGCTCTTAATCAAAAGATGCAGAATGAAGGGATGGTCAGAATTCATGCATAACAGGTGTATGCTGGCCAGAAGACTCCTGCTGAAAAACAGTTGTGCTTCCTATTTCTTGATCTTCAGCGAGCATCTTGGTTCCTGCTCATTTTCCAAGCCTGTTCTTCCTCTCTCCTGCAGATTCTGTGAGCCTTTTTTGTTCTCCTAATAAATTTCACTTTTACTTAAGATAGCCTATTTCTGTAACTATTCTGTAACTCTTAGCCAAAAGGTTCCTAAGTTATATCACACACACAGACATGTGCCCACTCAAGCTTACTCATTCCTTCACCAAATATCTATTGAAGTCTTTCTTTGTGCCAGGCTCTACTCTAGAAGTGAGGATAGGGGCCGACCCGGTGGTGTAGTGGTTGAGTTCGCGCGATCTGCTTCTTCAGCAGCCCAAGGTTCACCGGTTCGGATCCTGGGCACTGACCTACACGCAGCTTATCAAGCCATGCTGTGGTGGCGTCCCATATAAAGTGGAGGAAGATGGGCACGGATGTTAGCCTAGGGTGAATCTTCCTCAGCAAAAAGAGGAGGATTGGCAACAGATGTTAGCTCAGGGCTAATCTTTCTCACAAAAAAATAAATAAATAAATAGATAATAAAAGTGAGGATACAAAGATGAAAGAAATCCTATGACAACTAGGGAGAGGAGGAGCAAATTTGGGCAGGAAGGTGATGTTTAGGACATGGTGAGATTGAAACATCTGTGAGACATCCAGGCAGAAATACATGCAGGTAAACATGCGGATACCCTTTACTGGAACTCAGCAGAGATATCCGGGCTGTAGATAATTATTTTGGGGCCATTGCTTAGAGGTTATGGTTCAAGCCGTGAGAAGAGAGGAAATGGCCTAGAAAGAGGGTAAAAGAAAAAAAAGGACCCAAGATAGAATTTAAACACCAACATTTAAAGGATGGTGGAGGAAGATGAACCAATGGCAAACAATTCTGAAGATAGTCTATCTAAAAAAGAGGAAAATGAGAGGAGAAAGATGCTGTGGAAACCACAGGAGGAACTTTCAATAAGGATGTTGTCAAATGTCCCAGAGAGAAAAGGAAATAAATATGTCCTTGAAGACCTCAGGAAAATCTACACCTGGTAAGTAGTGGTTTGAGGAATGAATGGAAGGAGGGAAAGTGGAGGCAGCAAATGCTGGAGAATCTTTGCAATAAACTTGACTGAAAGGAAAGAGAGAGGAAGTGAGGGGGTAGAGGTGGGGAGATGAGGATGAAAGAGTGACTTATAACACAGGACAGACTGGAGAGTGTTTCTATGCTAAGAGCAAGAGGACAGAATGAGGCTGATGAAATAGAAATGAATGCAGGTTTTCAGGGGGAAGTTGTGGGGAGAGGGAGGGAGAAGCAGGGCTCATCAAGAGGGAGTGGACTTGAGGGGGAAGAGGAATACCACATCACCTGAGAAGGCAGTTAAGGGATAGAAAGAACCCTTGTGTATCAATTTGTAGGTGTTGCTGGAGAAATTACACACAGACTCAGTGCCCCTAAAGTATGTTTTAATTTTGATTTCTAGCAAACTGTTAGTTTGGTGATGAATTGTTGATATAGTAAAGTGGTTTGGTGCACCAATTCTGGACTCAGATTGCCTGTGATTGAAATCTCAGCTCTACCTCAACCGCTTAATAGCTGTGTGATCTTGGTCAATTTACTTAATCTCTCTGCTTCATTTTCCTCATCTGTAAAAGGGGCTTGTTGCGGCTGTCACACAGTAGGTACCATGGAAGTATTAGCTATTGTTATTATTTTCTACTAGATTCTCATCTCTATGAGGTTAAGGTTTTCTATTTTGTTCAGGACCGTCTACTCGGAGCCTGGCACTTAGTAGGCGCTCAATAAAAATTTCATGAATAAGTTGAGGCGAGAGAGCGAGTCTTGGAAGGAAAGCCTTGGGAGTAGGATGCTTTCAGTTCAGGACTCAGCGGGGCTGGAATGCTGATTCCTGAGTCAAACTGTGGGCGGCTTCCTGGGGCCTCCGAGCCTACATCCCAGCTCGGAGAGCGTCCCTAGGGTCAGAGAGGTCAGAGGCGCTGAGGCCCTTGGGTGCTCGGGAGGCTCCTCCCCCGGCGAGGCTCCTGTGGCTCCTCCCCTGGCGAGCCGTGTCACGCCGGTGGGGCGTGAACAGGGGCCGGCCCTGAACTAGCCTGACGGGGCGGGGCGGGGCGGGGCGGAGCCGACTCTCAAGCCGGGCTTCGACGCACCTCATCGACGGGGGACGGAAGTCTCAGCCCCACTCTCCACCTCCCCCGGGAACCCGGGGCCGAGAGCTGGGCCTCGCCCCACGGGGCTGCCGGGTCTGGGCGTGCTCCGGCGCGGCCGGCACCATGAAGCGTGCGGGGACTCTGCGCCTGCTCTCGGACCTGAGCAACTTCAGCGGTGCGGCCCGGCTCCGGGAGGTGCTGGCCGGGGACCCGGCCGTCCGAGTCCGCTGCAGCCCGGACGGCCGCCAGCTGCTGCTGCTGCGACCCCCGGGGGCGCCGGCCCCGCAGCTGCTGGTCGCGGTGCGTGGACCCGGCCCGGAGCTGGAGCGTGCCTGGCCGGCTGGCCACTCCTCACCGCTAGACGCCTTCTTCCTGCCGTGGCCGGCGCGACCGGCGCTGGTCCTGGTGTGGGAGAGTGGCCTAGTCGAGGTGTGGGGCGCGGGCGTGGGGCCTGGCTGGAGGCTGCTGCAGAGCACTGAGCTGTGTCCGGGCGGTGGAGTCCGCGTGGTGGCCGTGGCGGCGCCCCGAGGCCGCCTGGTGTGGTGCGAGGAGCGTCAGGCTGGCGCTGAGGGCCGGCTAGGGTCACCCGCAGCAGCTTTCAGCCACTGCGTGTGCGTCAGGACCTTGGAGCCCAGCGGGGAGGCCGGCACCAACCTGGGCCTCACACACATCCTGCTGCACCACTGCCCGCCTTTCGGGCTGCTAGCCTGCCGCAAAGACCTCTTCCTGGTGCCCACTGCCACCACCTGGCCTGGCGTGGGCCACATTCTGCTCATCTGGAGCCCAGGCA